GAGTGTCTGACGGATCCATTCACTTTTTAACTTGTTCAGTGAAGTGCAGTGAGACAAAATAACAATCACTGAAAACAATCTTAAGTTAAATTAAAATTAAGTACATTCTGATTAAACTTTTTTCTAGATTTTTAAACTGGAAGTAAAACAAGACTAAATAAAGCGTATTAAGAAGTCACTTTTGCAATGAATGTCTTACTGTATACCTCTGAATTAAGGTATGAGGCTAAATCAGCAAAAAATCATGAGATTATAATAGTTGTGTATAATAATTAATAAGACCACCACAGCAGTATTATATTAGCTTCATATCTTCATTGCATATCTTTTTACCTTTTTTCAGTAACATATCTAATCATAGGCTACTTAAATCATGATACAATTATTTGAGAAGATGATATAAAGTCTTGTTTTCTGACAAAAAAGGTCCAAATGAAGTGAGTTTATGCTTAAAACAATATTTTGTTTCTCCTTTTAATTAAGCTTCTTTTTCTGACTCCATTGCTAAATGTTTTTCTTGTTTTAAGCAATAACTCCCTTCATTTAGATTTTTTTTTTTTAGAAAACAAGACATAATACACAGAATTTATTTTAAAGATATTTGCTTAACATGCTAATTTGTAGTAACGTTAATGTATTTTTTAAGTAAGTAAAATGACTTAAGATATGATGTCTTGTTTGCAAGAATGTTTAGATATGTATACTAGAAAACAAGACAGAAATACTAAGTGAGAAAATGATTTTTTGCGGTAAGTGCGCTCAGACGCAGACGGCTCATGGGGAATGTGAGGGTCCGGGGCCAGCAGAGCGCAGGCAAACACTCCCTATAAGGCCATGGAGGCAGAATCCTGCTGTTATCAATGAGAGGAACGCGTGTGCTCCACTGAGCCGGAGCTTGAGGATCCCACTGCATCTGCTTTCACAGAGCAACAGCCATCGCTGATATTACCACTGCTGGAGCTGATCTGTTCATCTGCTGTGTGCTGCTTCTGTAAAATAATGAGTGTTTCCAAACAGGTTTCCAAGAAAGACAGTCCTGCCTCAAACTCTTTAAAATCCTGCTTTTAACATGTATATTTGCCTTATTTTCTAGTTAGAATATCTAATAATCCTTCAAACTATATGTGACCCTGCAGCACAAAAGCAGTGTTAAGTCGCTGGGGTATATTTGTAGCAATAGCCAACAATACATTGTATGGGTCAAAATTATACATTTCTCTTTTATGCCAAAAATCATTAGGATATTAAGTAAAGATCATGTTCCATGAAGATATTTTGTAAATTTCCTACCGTAAATATATCAAAACTTAATTTTTGATTTGTAATATGCATTGCTAAGAACTTCATTTGAACAACTTTAAAGATGATTTTCTCAATATTTAGATTTTTTTGCACCCTCAGATTCCAGATTTTCAAATAGTTGTATCTCAGCCAAATATTGTCCGATCCTAACAAACCATACATCAATGGAAAGATTATTTATTCAGCTTATTTATTTATGTATAAATCCTGTTTATTAACATGCATCGTACTTAGACGCAGCACTGAGTTTCCACTGATTGTGTGTTTAATAGGAGTTAATTTGGTCTCTCTGGACTGACTGATTTCATGTTGAACTTGTTTATAATTAAAACCAGTGAAGTGCAGTGAGACAAAATGAACTCATATTAAACAAACAAAAGTGAAAATAATATTACTATCATATGCTGTGCAATGTTAAGCAATTTGTTTAATTTGGTTAAATGATTTTTTACAAAAAAAAGGTTAAATAAGACTAAATAAAGCATTTTAGCAGTGAATGTCTTACTGTATACTCTTAATTAATGCAACATTCAAAATTATTACAAACATTATCACCAATCATATTATAATAATTATGTCTACTGACAGTCCTAAATAAATATATAGTTATTTACACATTAATAATAATAATTATTATTATTTATCATTTTATAAATATATACATATATATATATATATATATATATAATAAGAGTTATTTTAGCATAGATGAGATACGATAATAGTTTTTATTAATAGTTTTTGAATTTCATTTATTTTTTTATTTTATTTTTTTTATTTTATATTTTCTGATTTTTTTTTCCTTTTTTGTAACATTTTAGTAACTTTGTCGTGTGGATTTGTCATTCTCATTAGTTTATGTGTCTATATAATTTTGTATATACTATGTCTGTATAGTTTTTTCTATTTGTATTCCTTGGGAACTAGCTGAAGTGAAATAAGTTTAAGCGTTGTAATATTTCCTTTCATCTCAGTTAACATGTATTTACAAATTTTTTTTTATTGTTTTAGTTTTAGCTCCAGTTAACTATAATAATCCTATATACTGTATATTCATACAATTATGTCATGCCAATCCCAATCCCAGCAGAATAAACCTACTAAACTGCTTATATTTACAAATACTACAAACACTTTAATGCAGCATGAGATCTGACGCATGCATTCTGGTGATATCAGGAATCTCAGCGCTGGACTGAATCTGAACAAACACACAGAGAGATCAATACTTCATCCAGACCGAGAGCAACAAGTAAACATGTGTTTCTGTGTTTGACTGGAGAAACGCTGCGGCTGAACGTCTCTGAAGCTCCGTCATTTACAAGTGATTAATTTCTGACCGGATCACATCAATAGACTCCAAACTGAAGCAGCACTATTTATACTCACTATCTGCACGAGTGCGAGTCGGAGTGCAGATGTGAATCACTCTAGTAAACACGGTAAAGAGACGCAGACGGACCGTCTGGAGAAGAACAAACACGCGCCGCAGACGGGAGGAATCAAATACTTCAGCGCATTAATATGGCAACAATAACTCTTCAGCATGTAGATTTTGGACCTTTATGATTTACAGATTCATAAAACATGATGAAAGCGTCTGAAGTAGCGCTGCAAAACGATTAGTCGCGATTAATCGATTCAAAATAAAAGTTTGTTCGCATACTATATGTGTGTGTACCGTGTATATTTATTATGTATATATAAATACACACACATATATGTATATATTTTAAAATATATATTTGTTTGTAAACACTTGTATATAAATTATATTATATATAAATATAAATATTTTACATATACATCTAACATATTTTTCCTTAATATATACATGTATGTGTGTGTGTATTTATATATACACGATAAATATACACGGTACACACACATATAGTATGTAAACAAACTTTTATTTAGAATCGATTAATCGTTTTGCAGCGCTAGTCTGAAGAAAGAGAAAAAGCCCAGCAGAATAGGAGTGTGTGATATTGACAAAAAATAGTATCTTGATATTTTCTGGGATTTTATTGATCACGGTAATCAGATGATATTTTGCTGAGTGTGTTATTGTGCTGATATATTAAGGATTGCGGTGGACAGCTGACTCCTAAAGTGTTTATATTCTTCATGTTCTGTGTGCTGGTCAGTTCACACTGAGAGAAATTAATCTTTTCCAATAAGTTTAAATTGATTTTTACATTTTATGGGCATTTTTACCTTTATAAAGCCATTTTTTTCTAAAAGTGTGCATTATCTTTTGAGTCAATTTCTCATATTTAATCAGTGAATTAGAATAATAAGAGAATTGGGCTGTTAGCAAGCAAATTAAATCAGCATCAATAAAATGCATCTTTGCAGCGCAGAGGAAACACAGAAGCTGCGTCTGAAGTGATATTTAGATGTGTTTACACACCGTTTAGTGCAGGACATGAATGCATTTAACCTGCGGTTACACATGCATAAATACTGTTTTGATATATTAAACATAAAACGTTGGATACTAATATTTGAAATTAGTTAAATAATAAAAAGATACTTTAAATGTGAAATTAAATCCGCCAGCAGGTGGCAGCACGTCACTGTTAATAAGATTCAAACAAATAATTTAAACGGTTGATTCATTAAGGAACGAATCACCGTCATGTTGCTCAGAGACGCAAAACTTATTTTTGTTGTAGAAATAGAGCAAAAACAGGAAATATGGCGTCTAAAACGTAAGTCTCTTAATTAACTTCTTGTTTATTGAACTGCTATATAAAATCAACATCACATTTGTAATCATGGTCCTTTTTGGAGAAAAAACGGCACTCTTCGTATGAAATTAACTATATGAAGTGGTATAAATACAGTATCTCACAGAAGTGAGTACACCCCTCACATTTTTGTAAATATTTTATTATATCTTTTCATGTGACAACACTGAAGAAATGACACTTTGCTACAATGTAAAGTAGTG